TTACAGTTCAAAATAAGTATCTAGCAATTTTTGTGGTATAACTCTACTGTTGAAATTTTGTGAAAAATATATTTTTTTAATGAATAAACCACTTGTGAAATTAGAGAATGGCAAATACAAACCAATAGCCATTGGAACCGATTACATAAAAAGATTGAGTACAAATTATTAGGTATGCATTTTAACTGCTAATATAGATTCAATAACAATACGTTGCTATAACCTATAACCGATTCTTTATTCTTATTGTTCTAAAGTTTTGACAAGAACTACAACAGCAGATAGCTGTTTTCCGATATTCTCGAACTCTATTGCTTATAGCACATCAGTACGGATTTGTATGTACAATGTACATATGTGTGTGTATGCGTTGTGTGTGTATAATAGGTACACGTGTACGAGCAATCGACGCTGTATTATTTCATTTACAAAGCGACTTATTGATTGTGAACAAGGAACAACAATAGCAATAAAGACAATTGAAACGGTTTATCGACTTATAAGCCCTGTGTGGATAGTGACGTGATCACGATACACTCACACACACACACTCGTATAATATATATATGGCGATACGTATACAGTGTTATGGCCAAAAGTAATTGGAAATCGGTTGTCGAAATGGTCAGCGGGATCGGTATAATGTCTCCTGCGAAGAAATATTGGAAATACACCCGCGGGAGGTCAGTAAGAAAAAGAAGATTGTGCGGATATTAAGAAAATAAAAATAAAAACGCCATCTCCCCTATCATTCTAGTTATTTCTCAATTCCGAGAGCGCACAATAACCTCAGTTTTTGTCGAAAACGCGTTTTTTTTTACTACAACTTACCGCACCCAAAAGATCGTTTGCACTCTCACTCACAAACACACACACACACACACACACACACACACACAGTTCAGTGGCGAAACTAGGTGTAAAAGGTTTTTAGCACCCCTTGTTTTTTATATCTAACTTTTATTATTTTATTGAAATACCATGAATTTTATGTTTTTAAACTATAGACAATTTCCTGAAAAAATGTATAGTTATTTGGTCGTTATTTTATACTATATTTACTATATAAATTATAATTTATCATTCAATTACAATGACATTTTCGAAAATAGTAAGTTATACTATTCCGCTGGAGTAGGTACCTAATCAGTTTACACAAAAATATAAAAGATTTTAAACTATGCATGGAATAATTTTAGTTTATTGCGTTGTATAATATTAAAATATAGGAACATTAGGAACGTCTCGAGAACCTGGAATTTACCGCGCTCGCTTTCCTAACTTGTTTAATTCCTTAGGACAATTTTTTTAAATTTTTAGATTAATATTTTAAATAATAATCAATAATCAATAAGGCAATATTTATATCCGATGTACAAAAACTACAAACCATTTTGTTGCTATGGGGCACGATAAGTGTTTGATACAAATTGTATACGTTCTAATCGTCATAACCTATCTGCTTGTCGCACTGAGCACATCTAATAATTTGGTATATTATTTACTGTCTGTATAACTTACTTTACTTTCGGGATTTACCCTTGTACCATAATTAGCCGTATCATCATGTCTGCAAATAGCATCGCTTGAGATGAATGTGCAGTCCAAAACGGAAGTGATGCGCCAAGTGTTCGCCGATCTGCTGTCGAACTCTTCGAAACCATGGGCGTATCTTGCTGGTCCACGCAAGGCAGATGGCACTCCTGCCGGCGACGCGGCGCTGGTCGAGATGCCTTCCGCGACCGCCTTGATGCTTATGGCGTTCGAAGATCTCAGGACAAATCTTCCAACTCTGACAAAGCGCCGAGGTCTGCCGGGTTCGCCGATGCAGCGAGGGGCAGGATATTATTGCACGCCCAAATCGGTAGTGCCGGAGACAGGTTCCTAGGAGTCTAGTGTGCCGACGAACCACGCACTGTCCTCAAACACAACGAATCCGGAAGTTGAACCGCTGGCAGACTGCACCCCAATCGAACTGGCGAATCACACGAGTCCAACGTTCAGCTATTACGTAGGAGTTATGGCGCCTTCAGCCCTCGAAAAAGGTCCAGTGTCGTCTGCTTCGCCAGAGAACTCGTGACGCCACGACTTCGCAGCCCCGTCGTCGAGCGGTTTCAATGCCGAACATGTGGCAGTGCTGCAATTCTGTCCACAGGTGGATCGACCAATGCGGTCGAGTTCATAGATGTCTCACCGAAATTGGCTGTCCACGAGACGACAAGTTTCGGCAAAGCCCCCCACAACTCTGTGACGCATTCGCAGATTTATCACCCCGCGTTTTAGGGGTCTAGTTGCGCCACTGGTACACACACACATACGCGCGCACACATATTTCTCTATATACGTGTACGTTGTTGTACTCCAGTACACTATTTTCGTTTTAAGTCCATGGAAGATTTGCGAATTTATGAGGCGCCTGGGGGGCTGTTCCGAGTGCTTTCTGGGCGGATACGCGCACGCTGGTCTAGATTAATATCGCCAACATGATTAACGTGTTAATAGCAAAGTGCTCACCTTAACTCGTGTAGAGCCTTACGAGAAAAAAAACAAACACTATATAACACAACAGATAAGGCATATACACAAATACAATATTATACACATTAATATTATAATATGCTGTGCAATGTAAAGTGGAATAATAGAGGTGTGGTGTGTGTGTGTGTGTGTGTGTGTGTGTGCGTGTGTGTGCGTGTGTGTGCGTGAACACAGTATTAAATTGAAACAGAAAATTACTGGAGTCCTACGCCGGCGATGGCGACGACAGAAACATAATATATCGCCGAAATATTAAATCTTGTAACGTGATAATAACGTAATATATGGCGACGAGGAATATTCAAATATAGCCCGTGCGTATTAGTGTAATAATCGCATTTTGTACGATGATAAACTATAGTTTACACATAAATTATAATATATAACATAATAATGTTAATTTGCCGTCTAGAAAAATGTATTCTTATGAAAAATTAGGACAAGATGACATGGAAACTTAAATTGAGTTAGGTACTTATTAGCATAGATTAAAATATATACTTCCTATAAATTAATCTGTTCCATAAGTTATAACTCATCTATGGTTATACAGAGAGTACCCAAATTATATTTTACTATTAGGCTGTAGCATTGAACATATATTTATACCTCTTCAATGCTAGTAGGTATAATAAATTGAAATATATATGTTATTAAACATTAAACAAACATTAGGACAATATTTTTCAGACTTTAATATTCAGATTAACCATGGTTTATTCTTACATAATTTTGACATCCATCTGCAGGCCATTGCTAAGTAAAAAGTCTATTAAAAAAAACAGATGTCATTAATCATATTAAATAAAACAAACACAATTAATGATAATAATTTTATCAGAGCAACACATTATACAATAACAAATATTTTTACACATTAATATAGTAAAAACTAAAAAGAACTTGAACGTTTTAACTTAACTTTTCTTTAATTTTAAAACGACCACAAGTAGAAACGTACTGCAATTTGTAACAAAATACCCTCCACTTTTAAAATATTATTATATATAATATATTACATATAACCAATGTATTTTGCATAATACTATAATTCTTATAAAGTTAGGACTTAGGTATTTGTAGTTAGGATTTTTAAAAAAAAGATGTAGGTTTAAAAATTTAAACATACCACATGAAAATACAAAATTCACTTAAAAATTATAGAATTTATCTTTAATAATTCTCGTAACCGTTGAGCTGTAATTGTATTTTACTGGAAACTTATAGAGAAAAAAACAAAATAATTAATATTTGCGTAATGCGTATGTGTACGAGATATATGTGAATGACGTGTGACTGCCATTTTATTTGTTTACATTTTACAGTCACTACACACTTACGATCACTTACTTCAGACACATTTGCATGACATGCATAACTTGGAAAATTGCCTATATGAACTCCTTGAAAATATTCGGTATCATATCCCCTTAATATTAAAAAAAAAATCAAGTTTGTTGAAATATCTATCCATCTATTCTATCCATATAATCATAAACAAAATTAAAAATTGTACCTACTTTATGTCTATGTACATGAAACTGGGGAGGATTTCAAAACAACAGCATCATAGGTAGTTCTTTTTGTAATTCCTCTTGTAAAAGACAGCAGAACATCTGAGAAGCTCGCAAATGTAAGTATCTAACAAGAGCAGTGTCCATAACGTGTCGCTCTGTAGAAAGTTAAACGTATATGAACGTATAAGTACATTACTAGCTCTTGTTGAATAATCGACCAATCGTAAATGTAACTTAAAAATTGTTACAACTAAGTTTCATCCAAAACGAATGTGAGGAAAATATACTTAATTATTATAACGAAGAATGAATATAACCAATATAGGTACTAGAAATATTCACAAAGATACAGTACCTAATCAATTTAAATTCCAGTTTAGTTTTAAGTGTTGATATGGTGTAATTTATAGTCATTTTTGTATCGAAAATTGCATTCATTTTAACTTTAAAATCTCTGACACCAATCAGATATTGTAAAAAAGTGCTCCAAAAATTGATTATGCATTGGAATTGATCATTTGTTCGAGCAGATTGACTAACTAACCTACCTATTATAGCAAAGAAGGAATATTTATCTATTAAAATTATAAAGTGTCATCAATTAATAATTATAATATTACAATGCTTAAATTCATTTGTTGATTATTATTCAAAAAAGTTAAATAATTATTTGAATAAATATCCAACTTAAAAGTACCTTATTATTCAAATATTAATACATAATTTAAAATTAAATACTAAGAATATGTGTCTCGTTTGTTTCATCATAATATTGTACCTACTTATATATTTTGTATTTTATTTATTCATTATTGTAAATATTGTTTAATTGCGAAAGACGTTTTTGGTAAAGGTATTAATCAAAAACTAGACAATTTTGTTTCAAAAAGCTTCAATAATTGGAGAAAAACAAAAGAAATACCTATTTAATAAACATGAAAAGAATGACTATCATAATACCTATTAAAGTATATCGTTTAGTATTGAGGAAACGAAAAATAACACATGTCACATTATTAATAATATTTTGTCAGCGATACAGAATTTGTTAAACGAAAGTCACAAACCATATGGAGTTTAAACATTACTCTAGTTCGTATATATACGTAAAAAGAAGAGAGGTCGGCCCAAATCATAGGCGGTGGTCATGCAAATAAGTCTTCGCAGTTATTATTCACTGTCGCCGTCGATGTCTTTCAACAAGTACGGATTAATTTGTTCGCGGTAAGCCATTGGGTTTTCGGCGATCCTCTCCTGGATTTCTCGGTGCCGTTCTTTGCTCGACAAGTACACCAATGGTCGCCCAGAACCCCAAGAATCGGTGTGCACACTGTAACAACGATCGACCTTTCTCATGGATCCGTGGATCTAAAAACCAAAAAGCGGTAAAGATGGGTATTCCGAAATATTATAGTCTCTTTATAGGTATTAATATATATTTTTTAATCCAGACACATTTTACCGACCTTGTCCCACATAAAGCAATTAAATCCGTAATTGACGTGACAGTACTGATGGTGGTTGTCGTGGAACATGCAATCCGGCTGCCACGGTTGCCACCACTGAGCCTTGAGAGCGATTCCCGTGTGTTGCACGATACCGTGATAGTACGTGTAAAGAGCCAATCCGTAAAACGGAACTGTGAAGAAAAATGGGAATACATTTGATTCGGGAGGGTCATATTATAGTCTTATAAAAGTTCACCGTATAAGTCGGGGTACGACCATAACCACCTTTATTTTATACAACAACTAATACTTGAGATATACTCACGCCAGTGCACGGGATAAATAAATATTGGCACGACCATGGCCAGTTGCACGACAGTCAACTCCACCGGATGTATGGCGGTCACCGACCACGGAGTAGGCTGAAAGTACCTATGGTGGATGCTGTGAAAGTGTTTGAACAAAAACTTTGAGTGGAACGACCGATGAATCCAATAAGTTACATAATCCTGTAAGGACAAATATGAATTTTAAACGTATGTAAGCTCACTGCACACTACCGAATTCAAAAATACGATATATTTAATATAATATTGACATCATTGTAGCAAATCCTATAATATTATGTAATTTCACATTTAAATACAAATACCTACAGTGAATGATTTATCTTTATCAATATAGAATTCTATATAACAGCAACAATTTCTGACACCTATAATATTATACTATATACCTACAATTGAGTATAAAAACTGATAACAATTAAAATGTAAATAAAAAATATAAAATAATATGATAATATAAAATATAAAAAAATGATTTCAATGCAACAATATATGATAATTGTATACAAATATTTAAAAATATTTACAACGTTTTGCGGTTCACTAGGAAAATGTCAACGAGACGCTAGCAGTAAAGTTTCTATATTGTAAGCTGCACAGGTTGGTAGTACCAGAAAAAATATCTTCAAAACTTACAAATGAAAAGATGAAAGATCTACAGGTCCAAATACGTGTTTATTTTCCCACGCACTAGCTCTATATTAGACATTTTAAAATTATTTTTGAACTATATACGACCGACCTGCTGGAGGAATATCACTGGCCACTGGAGAATCCACCACCACCACGGGTACTGGCCGAATTCGATGTAAACTTTGCTGTAACCGCCGCAACTGACGTGTGTGGCCACCGCCGCGGACACCGCGTTCGTCACCATCAGACCTATACAGCCCCATTTGATCTGGTCCCAGAACAGGTGTGTGGGCAAGTGTCGGTTCGGTTGACATTTCCACTGGGCCTCCTTGCCGCGTCCCTTCACATAGTATTTCCACTGCAATGGAAAGTCGTGGAAAATAACGAAAAATCAATGACAGACCTGTTGCGAATGCCCGCGGGTTATATGTAATATGCGAAAACGCACTCACTTCAAAGTACCCACAAAAGCCAAAGTATATACCGTATCCGATGACCATGGCCCAGAATAACTGCACTTTGAATTCATCGAAGAACGACGCGCAAGACAGTCGCGGTCGGTGGTGTGACCACTGTGGTCGATGTCCTTCGTCGAGGTACTTTTGCGTGTGGGCCACAACCGTCAGCCAGTCGCCTGATATCGTGTGAGTACGCGATCATCGTTTCAATAGTTCACATCACACACACCACGCGGACGACGGAGTTGGAAATAAATGGCCCCGATAGAGAAAAAAAAATGATGATAATACTGATCACATTATAATACTAAAATATTTTATACCTAACCGAACAAAATAACATTTGGTACAAGTGATGGTTACCGTTCATGAAGGCGGCGGCGATCAGAGCCAATACGATCATGTCGGCGCACGGATTCGGACTGCACTGGAACGGCAACAAAAAATATTCTTGTCCAGACGGTATACAGTAATAATAAATTGAGATTTAATAATACTATTCGCGTAGAAGCATAGTCGCCACCTGTGGCATTATAGAAATAATTAAGAGCTATCAGGTTTTTTTTTATCAAGTAGGATAAAAACGTGCGTACACACCCGCGTGTCTTTAATTGAGTAAATATTCAGTGGTTATCTAAAAAATAAAAACACACGCTCCGAAGTCCCTACTATGTCATGTTCTCTTATAAGCGTATGTATTCAAATGATAACCATATGACCGTCTATTAATAATATTGTTTTAGTTTATAGATTATAAAATATTCGAGTGCAATAGGTACAAAAAAATCTAATGCAACGCACTCTCAGCTATATCAGTTTGCTGACAAATAGGTATTGCAATGTTAAGATTGTATACATACCTATATAGTTAACCATATTAAACACTTAATATGAGATAGACCCAATTATTATTGTTAAGAGGATGTCAGCGCAATGTTTGTTTTCTCTCCATAGGCGACGCGCAACACGTAGACAAAACGCATTTACGCAAAATCATTATTTTTATGTTTTTGACTAAGTAACATCGCTCATTACTAAAACGACAGAGAATAATATTTTTGAGGGCATGACTTATCGATTTGACTTATCGACATTAAACTTCCTTTAAATGTATAGCCTAATACATAGTCTAATAATAATAAAATATAAAACCAATATGTCATATCCTCAAATATATTATCCCCTATAATTTTAAGAGATTACTATTATATAATTTATTTTTTAAGATTACTCAAAAATCATAAAAAATGATTTTAGGTGAAAGCATTTTATTAGCAGAAGATCTGAGGGAGAAAACAAATATTGAGCTGACATCATATTTTAATGCATACGAAATCGAGGATTTTTTAACAAGGTTGTCCACGTCATGAAAACACAGAGATAATGTATAATAATTGATTAAGTCAATGATTAATCAATAATATTAGGTACTTTAAAGTTGAAGTGCAAAATTAATTACAAAAATTAAAAGCATGACGTATCTTTATACAGGTTAGCAAAGCAGTGTTTGCATTATCTAGACAACTAAATGTAATAGGTATGTATTATTATAATATTTTATCTTATCTAGATTGTTAAAGAAATTGTCAACTTAACTAATTTATCCACACAAATAAGTTTTAAGCATATAGTTTGCGAAAATATAATGTGAAAGTTAAGAACTACATATCTCAGCTAAATAACAAAATATAAAGTAGATAATAATAATATTGTTTGTGGAGCCGTGGGGGTTTAAACTTTTTAAACACATTTTCATAATATAATTTGTACTTCGAATATAATATTAAATACAGGACCTTAAATTGTATAGTCAGGTAAAAAGAAATAAACTGACCGCAAATGTCCCAGAACCCTACTTCGTCCAACGAGAGAACCGCCGACTATGCGCATAACCTTGTGACAAACCCTGTCGTCAAAACAGTTCCACTTTAATAGGGTATCACGCGATAGGGATGATGCCTGTAGCAAAAGAACTGGCGAACAGATTTTCTGGTGCACCGTAACTCCGCACGGATCGTCGCCATTTTATAATATATCACCTTAACTCCGCATAGAAAGTTTTTTTTCGACACCTTAACTCCGCATACAAGATTTTTTTTTAACACCCTAACACCACACACAGTATAAATATATTATATACACATAATAGGTATTTATTATTGTATTAATTAATTTATTTTAAATACAATATATTATGTTTTTAAAATTAAATAAAAATAATATTTAAGAATAAAAAGGTAATACTGGAAACGGCTTAAACAGCCTAATCTAAACATAGTATAATAATAATAATAATAATAAAGACAATTTGCAACAAGCATTGTCGCTATTGGTAAAATAAAATAAAATATAACATATCTAATGTATTGCATTAACTGAATTCAAACTCTTTACAAAATTATATCTATCAATTTGGTTGTCGTTAAATAATTGTATTTTTTTATTTATAAATTGTAAATTATTTTTTTGTTGTATTCTAATTATCCTACTTTCATTATTATTGGCAAAATTTATTCGTATATAAGAGTCCGTCTGCATGGCTAATAAATTTGTATATAAAACTGCAATATTTGGATTTGCGGAAGTAAATAAATTACTTTATTACTTTACTATTATATCAGTTTTATGACATGTGGACTTTTGGTGTTTGAAATATTTTTAGAATGCGGAGTAACGGTGCGTTCATGTTTTCGACCGTGCGGAGATGTACGGTGCATGCAGAGTTACGGATTCACAAAATATTTTTATTCATGCGGAGTTACGGTGCGTCCAGATTTTCATGTGTCAGGGTGTGTTCTCTCGCAGTACATAGTGTATATTGAGTCGGCAGTAGGTTATCGCAGATACAAGCGACTTATTATCTATAATAGAGGTAGACGCAGATATAGTTCTGGTAACTGATGGTCGGTAAAGTATGTACCAATACATATAATTGTGGCCATGTACCTATATTCTTTGATATTTTTTATTATTATTAAATTCAATACAACTAATGATAAATCATACAAGCTTCTTTTTACTCACAAACAAATATTTTATCGTACATATATTGGAGAAAAATATGTCAAAAGTTGACAGTTTCAATATTGTCTACCTATAAATAGCGTGAAAAATCCAAAATATTTAGAAAACTATGCCGTCATATGTCTATAAAATGCCAACATAAATATTATTTTTGAGCTACAATATAAAGTAAATAACGTTTCGCCACTTCATACCAAACCATCGACCAGGACTAAATTGGCATTTGACACTCGTCCAAAGAGATCCGTGAGGCCCACTAACATCGGTTAAACTCACGCACATGCACAATAGTTCGATAGGTCCTCGTTTCGTTCATAATCGTTTAAATATGTAATCAAATTTGGATTGACTTTTTGTAATTCGATTAGCTTCATATTCATACTTGGCGTAAATTATAGAAGAAACTTTTCAAAATGTATTTTTGAATTTTGATGTTGAGTTGATTTGTTTTTATTATACCGACATCATCGTTGCCACTTTAATATTTAGTTTTGTTATGAAACAACAATATTTTTCAAAATATGAAGTTTTTTATGAACTATTAGTATATTTTAAGTTTTGTATAAATATTTTCCATGCATTATTTAGGTAATTAATTTTTTAGTATTATTTAATGTATTGTTGCTGTGAATTGTTTGTATTTATTTTTATTATTTTCAAATTGAGAAGTGTATTATTGGTTAAAAAAGATATCATAGGTATATTATTATATGTCTTACTATATATTGTATGTAAAGACGATCCCCTCGATGTATACATTATGCTTTTTATAAAGTAGTTAATATTATATTGGTGATTGTTTTTATTTTTTATACGTATGATACATACTAATGTTTTTGTTTTATTTAAATTGTTGGTACAATTTTTAGCACCCAAGCTCGGGATTACTTGTGCGAAATAATAACTAAAAAAATCTAGGCAGTGGGTAGGTACTACTCTGCTGTACCTACAAATACAATACCTAGGTCATAGATATCGAATGTGTCTGCAATGTAATATAGCCATGTGGCGATATTCAAAACAATTTTGAACTGCCGACGATTAATTTTTGTTTATCAATACATTTATAAAAAAAAATGGTATGCCTAATCTCTATTAATTATAATATACTTATATACCTATGCCGGGTTGAATGAACGGTCACTAAACATGTAACGAATCAATAGCGAGCAATGCCACTGAGCTAATTGTCCTTTAAAAATGATTTAGTAGATTATTAGATTAATACATTTTTCATGCAACTCCCTCCCGACACTAGTATTATAGTAATATAATATAATATGTAACCGATGTGTGAACACTGAGGTATACCCTTTTATAACTAATAGGGGTTTAAAAATTAAGATATTACACCCTTCAAATCTAAAGAAATGTATTGGTATAACTTTTTATTGAAAATGGTGAAGTAATTTTTGAACCTAGTTTTTTAATATTTAGGATAAACCAACGCGGGTTAAAAATGTAGTGACCAAATATCAAAACTTTTTTTTTTATTGAACTTAAGCCCGTCGACTAAGGCCATAAGCTGTTGTATGGGTTATGAACTGTGGTATGGGTAAGGTTGCTACTGCAGGTTGTTTTTACGATTGTTAGGGTTGTTACGGTAGGTAGTAAACACGTGTATGTGTGGCAAGGTTTTTAACTACTATGAACACGGGTAGTCACCCATCCGGAAGCTAGTAGCTGTGGCCGTTACTTACTCCCAGTCGTATTCCGCGACTGGTAGCAGCCAACGCGCCACGCCAAGCCACCAAATACCAAAATTAAATTTTAAAATTTTTATATCCAATCGGATTACTTATATAAAACCTGTGACAACCATTTATATTAAAAAAAAACTAAATTTTACTACCGTTATTATGTTGTAGGTAATATTCTAATATGTAACAAATGCCCGATGAAAACCTCATAGAAAAAGGGTTTACGGTTTTTCCCAAATTCTAAAATAGTAATATATATTATAAAATAGTAATATAATATGTAGCCTATGGCAACCATTTAAATAAACAAAAAAACATGCATTATACGTGAGCTGAAAAATGCATGTATGAGCTACTCTTTAGCAACCTATACAGTATAGGGTTTGAAAAATAAGCTATAAATCTCCTCCAAGTATCAAGGAATCTATTGATATAACTTTTATTGAAAACCGTCCATGAGAAGCACGATTCATCTGTGGGGACATATTAGATATAGTACTTTGTATAGATCGAAAGTGGTTCAAACTTCAAAATACTCTCTAAACTTTCTTGATATCTCTAAAAGCAATTCGACATATTCTCAGGCATGTAGTTTTCCAGTATATAAGGTTATGAAAAAAAAAATTGATCTGATACAGCAAAGTAGAACATTATGTGAATTACCTATTCAAAAAATATTGAATATTTACAAATGAATGATTATTTTTTTATTATTATTTTAATATAATGTCATTCACAATGCTTATACAAATAAAAAAATACTAATATAATAAATAAAAATAATTATTTCGGTAATGCTTACCAATATATATAAAATAAATAAATTCTGGCGTTAAGTACACAAATATTTTAGAAATAATTTCAATTAATTTTTTTAATATAAATATAGAAATACAAATTAAATATTTTATAAGATCACATTTTTTTGCCATTGGTATTAAACTGTTAATTTTTTTTTTAATATTAATATAATTCAATTGTTTTCCTTTGTCTAGTATAATAATACATTAATCAGTTGATGAGTCGGCGGTGACGGCGGCGACTTGGAGAGCCTGCTGCATGTGTCCGTTTTCCCATTTCTTTTTGTGCTGATCACCACCAAATCCTTCGTCATAATTTCCTTTGGATATGAACAGCCGCTTGAAATGCGGCAAACAGTACAGACGTTTGTTATTCCATGTAAACGTGTCCATTCTACAGGTTTATAAATAAAGTTTAAAGTAAGATAAAAAATTAAAATTAAAACGACTATGATTTGTAAGTAAAAAACTTGTAGTTCAGTTTTTTGTATACATACTATAGTTTAGTCGTACACAGTTGTAAACAGAAAATAGATAGCATAAAAACTGTAATATTATACGAATACGAAATTTATGATAGATAACTTAGGTATTCTAATATTTTATTTGGTGCAATCATTTGAAATACCCTTACAAATATATTTAATTATTTTTGTTTATACACTATATGTATGTTTTCTATATGTAAATAAAAACAGCTATCCTAGTATTTTACCTACATTAAGCCTATATATATATATATATATGTTGATTTCTTCGTTATTGTTACAAGTCTACAATATTACTTGGTGTTACATTATAAACCATGTTATTCGTAATTCAGTACCAATAAACTATGAATAAATAAATAATTATAGTAATTAATAGTTGACAATTGTTTGCACAAAAAAAGATCAATACTTTTGATTTGTATAGGTATTGAAATAGAATTGATAATGTATATAATATATATTATATAAAACAATCGCCTAGGTAGATCTTTCTAAAGAATTTAAAAAGCATGTAATTTCTATAAATTTCAATTTAAAATAATTGAGGTCCATCTTCGTTGTCTAAAATCTATATTGACGTAATTATTGCGTGGATAACATAATATATAGGTAGGTATGTAAAGAGCGCAGACGTATCTGAGAAGTAGTCTATAATAGTGTACCTATTCATAATACACAAAAGGTTTTATACAAAGTTCATCAACGTAACTGCAAGAGTGAAACAGAATATGTTAAGTAATTTCTAATTTGAACACAACTATTTTCTAACACTCCTACTATACTAAAGAAAACATATATTTCGAAACATAATCAGTCTCTGGTTTTAAAAAACGGTAGTACTACAAATAACTGTGGAGGTTGAAAAGTAGAACATCAAAATAAACGTCTGAAAGTATTTTTAAGTAAATATATGAAAAATGTGAAACCCACCTCAAGACGCATTGGCATTGTGTGCACCTGAAGCACGACCGGTGGAACGGTCTGCCTTCGATCTCGACCTTCTCCAGGGGATAGACTTTCTTCTCGCAGGATTCGCACAGCGTGGTAGCGTGGCTATCGTGATCTTGCTAAAACGGCAAACACATGAAAAAATGTTAATCATACACAATGACAGACAACAACAGCACCAACATCATAGTATAAGTATATAAATATTATAATATAAGATATAGCAGCGTAGAACAGTATGAAATAACCATAGTAAGCCTAAAGAAACAATAAGATATAAGAGGAATGGCCAATAAGTTATCACAAAATAATATATTAAGACGTGAAGGCATATGGAAATGTACATGAGTGGAATGTGTATGTGAAGGGAATAGGGTGCAATACCTAATTGTTTCGAATGACGAAATGCACACGGGGCAGTTCAGGTTTTCACAGGGTAGTCGGTCTTCCGCTAAAGATGCCACCGCCATTATCACCCACGAAGACGCAGAAAAAAAAGAGGTAATAGAAAATACCATATTGTAAAATACAAAAAAAAAGAAAATACCATAATATATTGTACCACTACACGATGACAGCGTATATTGATAAAATGTTTATTAATAGGTGTATAATTCAAATCACAATCATAATTGGTATTATAATATTATGTATAGAATTACATTTAAAAATAATAATTATGGTCATGATATATTCTTGTAAAGGTTTAAAACTAAAAAAAAATCACAAGTGTAACGACAATAATAAATTATTTCTCCTTCTAAAATTTAAAATTCAATCATTCCGCAACAATATTAGTGATTTATCACTAATTTTTTTTCGTTCGTTCTAATACTTAAAACGGGAAAAATCGTTACTGTTTTTGTTCCACTTAACTATAAAATGTTGGCAAGCAATAACGTAATTTATATAAAACTAAAAAGATGATTGAAAATAAAGATTTATACAAAAAAAAACATTCAATTTTACGCACTAGACTTTAAATAAATTCACAATCCAACGTTAGAATAAACTTATAATTTTAAACATAACAAAAACGTGATACTGGATACCAATTTAAGAGTGTATTCGAGCATCACTTTAAAACAGTAAAAGTAAATATAAAATTGAATAAGAGCATCGCGTGAATCTTTTATTTTCGAATCGATAATACAATATTTTTGATTATGTGCCTACGTTATTATTTTTTTTAGAAGAAAAGTATAAAATGAAATCCAAACAAATAATATTTATGTTAGATAATATACGTATATGTAGTTTCAAGTAAGTTTTTAATTTAAATTTGTATGTACACTAACGAAGTCCATGGGGTGTACGGAGCTTCAGTTATTACTGTAACAAAAGAAAACAAAAACAGAACAAAATAAATAAATAATAGTTATATGCATTCCTTATTAAATTACTATTATTATTATTTATGACGTAGGTATAGTGTATGGATTTTATTTTCGTCAAACGTAGAATAATAATATACTCTACAAACATATAAAATATCATGACGACCGTCATACGGTTCGTTGGTATCAAATATCATAAGTTATAACGTATATTATTATATTGTTAGTATGGAAAATAGTACGAACGCGGAGTAATATATAGTATTGTGTTATGTTTTCAACGAAAACGAAAACAAATGCATATTATTTATGTAATAATTAATATTATTATTTAGTAAAGTCATGTTCAAGATAGCGCAAAAAATTGTCTTTTACACCCACGCATCCGAATTGGTGTTCCATTAATAAATGTCGAATCGCAGCAAAATTTGCTTATTATGCATATCGTATACCGCGTACTTTGAACGTCCGGTTCACCCACCACCGGCAATACAAATAATAACACTACATAAAAAATAAATAAATATTTCACCGCGACTCCGTTACACGTTGTTATAAAGCTGAAAATTAGATTTGATTATTTAAAAAAAAAAATTAAAATAATAACATTAAAATAAAAAAAAATTGTTAAACAAACTCACCTCGCCACTATACGAATCTACTAATAAATTCGCACACATTTTATGGACTCGTTGTTAATGGATATTAAATTATATGACTATAATTATATAGACGTAGTATTGTGTAAGCATTTCGTTGTCATTATTAATGTTTTAAATTTTAATCACAACAAACGGTAAGTAAATATGATTCAAATTAAAAATTGTTTACGATGTTAAACGCGATTTTTCACAACAGGCACGCGAGGTAAATCGATCAATTTGTTCTTTTCTTTATAGACATAGTTTAATTTTAAATAAACACAACAAACATAATGTTAAATACTAATTAGTAAAAAAAAAACTAAACGTTATATTTCGCTTTCTGTGATAACCACTGAACTAAATAGTCAAATAATTGCAGATATATACACTGTTAACTTAAACTTTTTACATACACCCTTTATGGAATTATACAATAATTGATTTAATTATTTATTAAAAATTGATTTCTATTCATTTGTACAATACATATTTTTTCTAAGAGCATATTATACATCAATGCATCATTCACACTACTTACAACCACCGAAATGCAATAGTAAAAGAAAATTCGTTTTTCTGATGGTTATAGGAAAGTTTATTATCACAGAAAACGTCATTTTCAGGGATAACAATTATTGTTAGCTATTTAATAATTGTATGTAATGAATTACCATAAGCATCGTTATAATATTGTAGCAACATAAACTTGAACAAAATTAAACTGAAAGTATAAATAAATTCCTTGATTGAAAATAAAATCGTATGGGTAAATTTGAAAATAATAGGTTCCCCCTCTCTTTTGAGAATATTACTGTGAGAAAAAAAATAATAAGAACAAAGTATTATTAGTAAAATACAAATAATTTGCTAGTAATTTATAGAATATGATGATTATGTGACTAAATGAGTCTTAAGTGATAACATTTAATTACATTTGCAATTGTATTCAAATCAAGGAACTTAATAATAAACAGTTATGTTTTATTTATTTTACTAAAAATGCTTCATAATAATTTATTGTATTTGAATGAATTAAAAGACTTTCATCAACAATAAGTATAGAAGTCTCAAAAACTTATTAGCCTTCACAATGATTCCTCAACTAACACAAATAAAATTTACAAACATACATACAACATATAAACTTCTCGAAATTACAAACATGTATGTGTAGTATTAAGGAAAATCAAACTGGTAAATGTCAAAAAATGTTTAAAAAAAAGAGTTAAGTAAAGTCTCTTTTCCTCTTTATTTATGGTTAATGAATTACGCATAAATTGAACTAACAAACGTTTACCACATAAACTGGATTTTCAATAATCCAGAAACTCTTGTGTCATTTACCTAATAAAATGTATCGATTAAGAATAATAATTTTTGTGTCTATGTCACCATGTCAGACGTTAGTAAAAAAAGTCCCAATAAATGTCTTTTTTTCGTCCGACTGTCGACATATTAGCATCGGCCTACAAAACAAAAAAACAAGAAGAAAAAACAGACAGGCCAAACGGAAGAAGGAGATTAATCAAAAGCGTCTATACTGTAACTAAGACTTTTAGAATTATTTACCACGAATCTGTTAACTTTTGGTTTTGGCTTATCAGCTGGACGATCACCTTTCAGTGATTCAAAACGAGCACGCAAAGATTTAGTTGATTCGATGCTTTCTTGTTCAGAGTCAAGCATTGTAACAGCATTATTCATAGAATGCTTGTCTGGTTCCCAGTGTTCAAATTTATCTTTCAATGACTTGGCCATTACTGCGCTTTGAGACTGAAATTGGAGGATTTTAATTATATACATTATATTATATCACACAATCATTTATTTTATTAGCCTTTTTAAATAATTATTTAATTCAACAGAAAAACACAGGTATTGTATTTTTCATAAATGTCCAAACCATTAGTTTAATATAAAAAAATTGTTAAATGTTTTATAACCTTACATTTTTCAAAAATTCATCTTCAACTTTTAGGGATGATTTCACAACATCACCATTAGTTTCACTACTCGAAGAATCTTCATCACTATCATCTTCACCACTCTCATCATCATCAGATTCTGATTCTGTCTCCGATTCCTTAAGGTCTGCCGGTGGAGGAGTAAAGCGTTTCAGTGGTTTAAGACCTTCGGGTACAGCTGGTCTGGCAACTTCCATCTGTCTAAACAAGGATAACATCTTAGCCGTTGTATTACTTTTGACTAGTTCCGCTGTCTCATCAATTGGGTCTTCACTGCGCACTACATTTGGATCGCGGTAAATATCACGTTCTGGAGATTCTCCCTAATTAAACAAATTACAATAAGTATTATTATGATGATATAATTGATGTACAATATGCAATAATTTTTATCCATGATAATGCATATTATTTAAAGCCAACATTGGAAAGCTTTAATTTTGGTATAAAACAAATTCTATGATTTAGGAAGTGTAAAACTATTATCTCTAAACAATAATATATTACATTAAACTAATGTTACACCAATAAAATATATAATAGCCAATTGACCAATGTGTCAATATGTTTTGATATTATATTCTACTTAATTAAAAGAGACCATGAATAATAAAAATTAAATATTCACTCATTAATCAATATCAGTATGAATAAAACTGAAAATTATAAAATATAGGTAGTTTTTGTTTTTGAATTTTAATTAAAATAAACATGTTTATTGTTTGAAAAGAATATTGAATGAAAATAAATAATAAATAAATAATATTTGTTAACTACTGTTGCTTATAATATAATATTATAATAGATAATAGGTAAGTATCTAACCAATTATATATCAAGGTCTCTTTTGTTGTATATTTACAAAAAAAAAAGTTTATATTATAAGTATATTAGAATTAATCTACTAAAGATTATTTTAAATCATAATCATAACTATTAATTTTACAGGTTAAATTTTAATATACCAACTACAAACAGCTCTGATAATCTTATAGTATGTATTAAAAGTAAAGAATTTTAATAATTAATTTTTTTTATATTATGAAGAATTTATTTATGTCCAACTAACTATCCTTTTAAATTACATACAGTAATTTAATTAGGTAATTTATACTCTTTCAATGAATCTTAGATACTCAATATTCATAATAAAATAAATGAGTAGATAAAAAATCAAACTGTTATTAATTAGCAATTTTATTTAAGTTAAACAAAACAAAAACAAAAGAATCACAGTTATTATTTTAATCCTGTAAGATTAGTCAATAAAAAGAAACCACGTTAAAAAAAAAATACATAAATACAAAATCATAAATACACAGAAAGAGTAACATGGCATAAGAAAGTTGATTACATGATTAGTGGTTTAGTTAGGAATAGTTAGGATAACCAATAAAATAAGTTCAGATAGAAAACCTTAATTTGGCCTTCTCGTGGGGGTGTAATTCGGAACTGTTTCTTAATGACTGCAGGAGGCTTGTATGTTTCAAAGAACTTAAACTTTGAAGAAACTTCAGCTGTTTCCACAGAAACGTCCTCGATGCGGTCACTGCATTTGACCACATCATCAGACACTTGACGACTGTATATCGGTGTAACCTGTCATTTGTATACATATTCACATACATAAAATAGGGTACAACTCAGAGTAGAATTATAATAGCATTAAAAATAAAACATCAATGGGCATATTATAATATAAATTAAATACTTGATATTTTTTTAATTTTCTAACATTACTTGAATTAACCACAGAATAAATAAAATGTATAACGTAAGAATGGAGTACATTATAATATAAATACTAAGTGTTGATTGCTCATCTCACTAAAACGAACTAAAATATAAATACTGGTAAACTTTGAACTATATATACCTGTTTTATAGGAGTATATTCTTTTTTAATATTCACAATTGGTGCAGCTTGTTTAGTCTTTACAGCATTAGCATCCAATTCCATGAACAGACTTCGAGACTTCTTAGAGATTCCTAAAATAAAAAATAATATATATTATAAAACACACCATTTATATATATATATATATATATTTAATACCAGCTTCAAAAACACTCATTTCATCTTCATCATCATTTACTGATGCACTTATATTGTTTTCATCTATGTCACCACTTTCAGTGTTTACTATTTCGCCCCGTTCAAACTTCTCTTTGATAACTTTAGCTTTGTCAGATTTGTTTATATTTATATCTCGTTTAACACCCGTACGTTCACTTTCAGCCACAGCCTGTTCATACATTTGTTTCATTTTTCCTTGTTTTCCCTAAATAAAATAAATACAGTTATTTTTAATTAATAACTATGAAAACTAAAATATCCTACTCAAATTTATAGTAAATATGATCCTAGACATTTTATTAAATAAAAGTATAAAAAAAACAAGTAATATTGTAAGCCCGACTCAATCAATTATTTAGGGTTATCAGTCCTTAAGACAGTTAAAACTATCATAAAATCAATAATAGAACATAATGAATATTGTGTAGTATAATATGTTATTTTGTTACATTTTCTTTGACTAACCGCAAATAATTTAGACCTTATGTTTTGTATTTCTTGTTTATGTTCCTCTTTCATTTCCTCTCGGCGCATTTCCCAATTACGTTTAACGGACTCCATTTTGTCAAAACTCATTGGTTTTTCTTTAGAAATACTATTTTTTAACATATCATTCCCGGGATCTTCATCTTCAGTGTCACTGCTTGACGAGGGCTCAAAGAATGCGCCATTCAGATCATCATTGGCAACTCCTACATCCATTCCTTTAGACTGAAATCTATTTGGACAAAAATAATTGTTATTGGTATATGTATGAGAAACAGATATATGTTAATTAAGAGAACACTACACCCGAAACTTGTTATCTCCGTCTTATAAGTGCTTATTAAAAAAAAATGTACGATCAGCAGTTAAGGTTTAGCTTCGTTATTTTAAAAATTAGAATGAATACTTATGAAACTGAAATGGTAAGAATATTGTTTATGTTCGTATGACGGCTTTCACAATAAGTTTTGAGTACATAAAATAGTGCTATTTAAAAATGTTTATAATTCGTTTAAAAACTGAATTATCATAAAATATCGACCTACGAACACAAACTTCTTACGATTAAATATAATTTTAGGTTTATTCACTCTAATGTTTAAACTAACGAAGGTAAAAGTGAACTTCTCCTGTAAATGTGCAATATTGCTAGCAAGTAAGACGACAACAAATGCGGGATAAGACAAGTGTCCTCTAAGATATAAATAAAAAAACATACTTGGCTAATTTACTCAATATACTTGGTGAACGTTTAACACTGACAGGAGATTTTTCCATGTGACTATTACCATTGGTAGTGGCGTTTTCAAAAGCTTGAAAACGAGATTTCACGTTTAAAGAGCTTAATTCTTCTAAACCCAAATCCGGTTTATCACTTGCTAAAAATATAAAACATTGATTAATACGTCCTTAAAACTATAATGGTTCATTTTTTTATAAATCAAGACAGATGACAAACAAACAAATCAAATTAAATAAATTGGAAACAAATTGATTGTTTTATAACACATACACTGTGACTTTTATTATGTGAATCAGTCTATATCTTGGAAAGTATTTGTATATTTTCTGTTACGTTTTACCGTCAGGTTAACCAATTACCAATATTTTTAAAATTTTTAATAAGGGTATGTATGGAGGGTATTAATAACGAAAATATACAGTGTAAATGAAGTCAAGGGTTTCAAAACAAAATATGGCATACATTTTTCCTGAGATATAGAATGATAACGTAAAAAATAAGCGATATAAACCAGTATTATTGACGTAAATATGAGGATATAGGGTATTGAGGTTAGTAAGACTAAGTTTTTTTTAACATTAAAACGTAATTTAAATGTTCTGTATACATCGGGGGTTGACTAAATATTAGGAGAATTTTAAAATCTAAAAAAACCAAACAGAAACAAATACGAGAAACCATATAAAGACAACACACACCACACACGTTATGATGGGTTTAAACTTTATAATACTTTATACTGTCCAATTATATAGGTACCTCTAACCACGTCAGGCGGTAATTCCAAGGGCTGATTTTCACGTATTATCATTTCTGGTTTCTTGCGTCTAACTATAATGATAGCAATTCAAACGTTTTATGGAAAAAAGTATAATACAAACAGTTGTAATCATTTTAAAATTGAATTTATAAGGGAAATATTTTATAAAATATTTTTTTTTTAAGTAGGACTTAATATTTACTTAAAATTATTATAATTTTATTATATGCCTTTCGTAGCATAATCACGATCCATTTATTTGTTTTAAATAAATATAACAGAACTATATTATTGACTAGGTACTTACTTGGCTCTTCGTCCTCAACTACTACTTTAGGCTTAAATAACTCCTTGAAATGTGGTTTACAATACAATATACCTTCGTGGCTACTATAAATATCAAGCCTGAAATCAAAAGTCAAAAATCATTAACTTTTCTTCAATTAATAAATCATGATTAAAAAAACTTTAATTTACGTCAACTGTTTATTGCATGTTGTGCATCGGAAACAGTTCTTGTGCCAAACCTGACGTTCCGCTTTTATTTGTTCCATAGCATACACAGTCTTCTCACATGATTTACATATAGAATTAACTTCTGGACGTATAACACCATTCTATCAATTAATACAATAAGTTAAGTATTTCAAATATTTATGAATTATAGTTAAGTTAAATACTTGTTTAGTATCGATTTTTTCAGATTCTGTAGGAGATCTTTGTTGAAGGATAATTTTTTTTTCCAGCTGATCAAATTTCCCAAAACTTGATTTCTAAAAAAAATACCATTTTCATGTTGATTATTGTACGTATATAAATTAAATACAATTTTAAGAGTGACAAAATACCGTAACCCTTAAATAAGTATTAACTAATTATATAAAAGTAAACACAATTAAAAAAAATTAGAATAATATAAAAATAGCTTTAATTTTTTTTCAACTCTGTAAAATAGAATTAAGAATATTACAGATAAGAAATATAATGGGGTAACTTAGTAGGTTAATATTAGATATTTATAAAATAGGAAAATGCAGCTATTATAGATCGTTCGTTTTGTTTTGTTTATTAAATTATAATTTAATGTATAATGTAGTGTAATCTGATAATACCTACTAAGTACCCATATAGATTAATTGAATATTTTATAGAATACATTAAATTATAAACATAGCTTATAAAACTTATAGTTATAAGCTTTACTAAGTTTTAAATTTTAAATGATGGTACCTAATACAATTTGTTTAAATGGATTCATAATAAATTGTATTGATTATAAAGGTGCCGAAAATTGGTTTTATTTATGACTTGTGTGTTTATCAATAGGTAAGGTAATATAGATAATTTGATAGTTACCTACTTTAAACTTTAAATTGGCTGTATACATACAATATAATATTTGGTATTTTGTCAAAGTGTATCAGATTACTTCGGTGGCTACAATTAAAAATAAAATGTATGTGTGTTGTAAACAAAAATTATGACGAAGACAAAAATATTTTAGGCACCTACTCAAAACATTGGACTTTATCACACACTTTTCTTTAAATTTTAAATCCTAGAAATAAAGTATTCTAATTTTCTCAAATGTGTTTCTTAATAAGTATTTGCTTCCATTAACCAATATAAATATTAAATACAATGTTAATAGACATATATTATAAAATAATAACATACATGTAGATAAAAGCAGAGAAACAAGGTAAATAGGGTATTAACTAAAATGCATTGATGTTTCGAAAAAGTTTTGGTTCTATTTTAATAATGTTAAATGTATAGCTGTAAATAAAGTTTAGAATGTATTATAATAAAATATAAACCATAACAGAATTTTTTTTAATACTATTTATAACGATAATTTAAAAACGTATCATTGTTTAGTACATAAAGTTTTGATTTTATTCCAGTTCACGATCAAACTTCTAAAAAAAATTAACTGTTTGACAAATCCAGCTGTACTGGACTTCAAAAGATACTGAACGCATCCAAATCAAAAGTCAAATAGTCATGTACATTTTATACTAAAAACAACATAAGCCGGTCGTATAACCCAGCACGCAGTTTAAACCTAAACATTAAAAGTCTGGAAACATTTCATAACAAAAATAAGTAGTTTATAAAAATTAACAATGAAAATATTTCATGATATAATTTCATTCAACATCATATAAAATCCGCTATTCAATATTATACAATTGCTAAATCACAGGCCACAGCGACGTATTTCGTGGTATGTAAAACGTAGTCATCTGGGTTTAGTATCTGAATTTACAGATAAAAATTTAAGTTTGAATTTTAACACTTATCACAATAACATGAAATTATAAAGATATAGTACACTCGACTTCCATCATAAATGTAAACAATTTTTTCGTTATTATAGGTCTGAACTCTGAGTAGTAAGAATACAGCAGAACATTGAGTCATATAATATAATATACTTGGTTTTATAGGTAGTGCAGTTGTATTATTTTTACTTTTTTACAAAATCTTAAGAAGAAAATATTTAAATATTAACATGCGATCTATAAAGCATTATACCAATCTGTCCCATAACATTAGCTATACTATCTATTGTCTACACGCAATATTTAAAGGTATTTTAAAATAACATTCCATGACCTTACTAATTATTAAAACAAGATGACAAAAATATACTAAAGCATAGTAAGTGTATAACATTAGTAATAGTTATAAATGTTTAACAGTTTAAAGAACCTATAACTTACCGAACAACCGTTTATCATTCCGTTTTCACATCCGGATGGTTGTTTCTTGATGGCACCGACAAAATTTCGCTTCTTTACAAAACAAATAGCAAACAAACACGCATACACAAATTACATGGATGCAACAAAAATAAAAGCATGTACATACACGAAAAGCAATTCAACGATTTGTTTGAGGATAGGAAGAGGGAGAAAATAATAAAACATTTTACTCACCAATTCATCTATGGGAATGGAAGCGGGTACAGGCTCCTCTGGCATAATAACGGAGGAAGACTTTCGATTAGCTTCATCGCAGTAGGATTTTTTCTACCAAAGCACACACAAAAGTAAAAAAACATAACAAAGCAGACAATTGGCAGACAAAGTTCAAACAAAACTAAAATGTATAATTGTTTAACACAACGTGCAGACACTGAATTATAAATTAATTCAATTGATTTTTAGTAAGTAGGTACCCAGTTATAAGTGTGTATTAATATTATTAAGCCACTTGTTTTAGAAACTTTACTTAATATATCATCTATATTATACAGTACGCTAGTACTTAATAACTTTCTCTGACTAAGTTCTCTATAAAAAAAATTGAAAATAAAGCTATAACAAACATGTTACCATGTCCGTCATTGTTTAATACATTAGCTTCATATAAGCATGGGAAATGCAATATTAATTAAAACAAAATAAACAAGTATTTTAGAACGTTTATATTATGGTCTACACATTGTGTTCCTCAAATAAAACCATTGTTTACTTCACACATTTATCTCAGCTAATGAAAAATACCATAGGCCAATTATATTTTATTCGTATAATTTATATTTTAAGAGAAATAGATAACCTCACAACAATTCTAATTTTAGAAGATATCAAATTTAATAATATTTAATTGCACTCGTTTTGAGTTATTTGGGAGGAGTACTACTTCAGTATGAAGTGTAAACAAACTATAATTAGGGGGGGGGGGGGGGGGTGATCTCGATTATTGAATTCAGGCGAAGGTGCGGCCAATGGGTTTTTATATATTTAATTTTCCATTTTAAACTTCCGGTTGGATAAAATCATTACTCATTAGAGACAACATAAACTTCTTCCCTTTATAAAACACACATGTTAACGTTTTTTTTTTTATAAAGTAAAGCATGGGAAATTTAATGAACCACCATATAATAAGCATATTATACAAACCCAATTCAATATTTATTTTCTAGTATAAATTTTTGTTATTTTAAATCAACTTGAGCAAAACAAAAAATGTAGCAACATTTTTTTAAATGAAAATAAACATGTGTCATACACTTTGATGACGTGTATGATAGCTAAGCATTGAGCGATATTATAAATAGTACCCTACACTAGTGTAATTTAATTAATTTTATGGAAGGGATACATATACAAATAAAGAATTTATTTCAAATATATACTTAATAAAAATGTTTAAGAAGCAAAGTAGTATATTTCATTATTGTACTATAATTTGATACTTCAAATTATAATCTATTTATAATCATTTTAAATAAATCCATAATACGTGATTCATGTAAACAAAAATATGATAAAAATGTATATTAGGTATTAGTAACGAAAAGATTTAGACTGACTCATTTCATTTACTACAATTGCAAAGTAAGATAACTAATATTTTATAACTCATTCGTTACTATTCTAAACGTGTTGATGACACAACACAGTACATTCTCAATACAGGAATCTTGCTCAAAAGTAGAACGAACCATATGAGGTAATGACTAAAGATGCACAGATATTATTAGATAAAACGAAGTCAAACTAATGTGAAGGTGGATATATGAAATAGAGCCAATTAGTTTATCCAGCCAAATGAATAATTCAAAAGCAATACGAACAAGTTGTCAAATCACGAAAAAAAATCAATATTTACGTTAAGAGAAATACCATTTTATAAATGGTTTTACCTGTTTTCCACATTTTTTTAAAAGATATTTTAGATTTTAATAGCAAGTAATATTAAATCTTAAAGTTGTAAAAATGTATATTTTTTTTTTTTTTTAAATAAGCATGATATCCCACCATGTTGTAATCTGTAAATGTCAGGTATGTAAGAGTTTTGTTTTGAAAAATAAACAATTAATAGGTATATAAATAACTACATTGTAGTACTTGTACTCAGATATGTTTTAAACCAAGTAATATTATAAAATATATTTATAAGGATTAAAGAATTATATTATGTCATCTGTTAGTAAGTATGAACATTTAACATTGTACACGCATATACCTACTGTACAACATATTATTATATTTAACATGTAAAATTAAAATGTTTCTCCTATATGTGAACGGCATTTTCTAATGAAACGTTACTTGGGAATCTTTGCTAGCTGCTACCAGTGCTACATATACCTACATATCTGATACGAACTACTTCAAAACTAATTTAACGACAGAATACTATAGATACAAAAGAAAATATATGAGAAATCCAAGGTCAACATCCAATTAATTCTTGGACAATGTAAATGCTTGCACCCAAATGGACTATTGTAAACGAAAAAATAATCTCATTGTACTGTTACAGTTACTAATTGAGAAACAAATATCTACGGACTAGGAGGCTTAACTCAAGAAACGACCACAATATAATACTTTAATACTAGTTATAATAAAACGATAATTTTGAATACTAACGAGGTCTCGAACGCATACGTTAGATAAATCATCTTCTTCGACAATATAGTCGTCGTCGTATTGACCATTTTTCATTTCATTTGTCAAATGGCCATTTAAATTCTACAAAAGCCACACATAATAGGCAACACTTAACACTATTAAATCTATATAAAAGCAGATATGACGTTGGAAAGAGGCAAAGAGCATAATATAGAGCATTTTTGCAGGATAACATAATATTCTATTGTAAAGCATAATACAAAAATTGCCATTTGACTAATAATAAAAGATATTTACAAGTTAAAATGATATAACTTTTTGTTGTACGTAATCACAACATACCTAGTAAAACTAATTTGTTTAATAAGGAATATAAATTTCAAAACAAAGGATAGTATTAATTACACTCGTCGAAAATAAAGAAAAAGCTCCAAATAAAAACCAAAAACAAACCTTAAACTAAAATGTGATTTACCCTTAGTTATTTAAAAATAAAACGAACAAACTTTAAAATAATATAACAGTATGGGAGTTTAAAAAAAAGAGGTTAAAATGTTTTTACCTTGTAGAAGTAAGAACAATAATAGTTGTTTCACAGCAAGGAAAAGTTATTTATATTATACTTGGTATAAATTTTAAAAGGAGATGAAATAAATATGTAGCGGATGAACTTACTACGGATATATTTTCTTTTTCGTCAGATTTTTTGGACTTTTTGGTCTTTTTGGTTTTGACAACCGTGGTAGACGCTTCACCACCGGCTGCAGACGACTTTTTCTTTACTGTTCTGCGTTCGGTCGTCGTTTCCGACACTACCTCGGTCTGCCAAAACACAATCAAACATTAAACGATTAAACGACTATTACTTCCTGTGAATTTTTAGAACAAAAATGGATTGAAAATAGTCATAAATTTCCTACTGCAAGAAGATAATATAATTTCCAGTCAACTGTGGCCCCCAGTACAATGGTATAATGGACAATAGGGGAAGAACACCGTGACGGTAACCTGACAGCAATGTGTGGACTTAAAATACATCATGTCGTATGTTTCGGATCAATCCCCACTCAGTGTTTACGTATGAGATACAATCGACTAGTGTTTTTTTTTCAACTCATATTAAATATCGCGTATTTTGTGGTGACAAACGTGCACCACATAACGAGAACTTACTGCTAAATACGTTCAGTAGGGCAAAAAAATTGGTTGCACATTTTTTTCTCTGACAAAATAATACCTTATAATAAATGAAAGTAAATAAATTTACTTAAGTATTCAAGCATATTATAACATTAATAAAAAAAATTAAAAATGTCTAAGAACGTATATAATTTTTGAAAACAGCTCAGCTCATAAAATATATTTTACAGCAAATTACTGCAAGTGTATTTTAATTTTGAAATTTATTTTTAAACTATGATAAATATAATTTATTTATATTTAAAATTATTTGTTTCAGTTCACTTTAATAAATATTAATACTATAATTTATAGCATATAAAGGTTAGATGTTTTCTCAGTTTTGTACAATATTTTAAATATTAAGCGAGTTATGAGAATTTTAAAATAATTTATACTCAAAACTCCCTGATAAATAATAAGAAAAACCGGGGGCCACATTATACAGTTCTCTTAATCAACGACTTATATATCACTAGCAACGACCAAAATTGTTCAAGTATTAAGTTTAAATTAAAAATAATAGGTCGATAAAATCAATGCTTTAATTTTCATAAACATTATCTTAACCTACATACTATGAAAATGTACAATGTTGGGTACTACAAAGTAAAATGTAGTATAATGCAGGTGAACAAAATATGTTATAAGCTTCAGTTTGGCTTTTGAATAGCGATCAAGTTTTTTACACACATTTAGTTTATAAATATATATAAATAACAAATGCAATTTCAGTAAGTAAAAAGCAATTTTTATTAGGAGCGGCAAACAAAGAGATGGGAAATGAGTATGAGAACATAGTAAATTCAAACAATATTTGGCAAGACCATATTTCCGGTATCATGAATAATTTTTCACGGTGGGTCGGTAAGTATTCAATGTGCATAAACAACATTAAATTTGGACTAGTATTTCATAGAATAAAAATATACACATCACTTAGTCACGATAATACATACCTACTATACTCTTTAGAAAATGTGTAAATAAGATAGGAAGGACTAGGTACATAAAATATATTTAAAACAAAACTAACATAAGTAGTTTTAATGTAGCTACAAACATACACATTCTAAATATCAATAGTTTATAAGGAGATTTTTTAACTAAATATTTTTCAAAAATATAGTATATACTGAAATATATTTAGGATTTCGTATGGATACACAAAACATTGTTAGTATAATTTAACACCATTATACATAGCCCTGCGTACAGTTCATGTCATCGGTAGGAATTGTGGTTGATTACTTCAGTCGTCACACACTAATGAATTATGAATCGAACGAAACCATTTTATTTCATAGCCTATTTTTGCCTATACAAAAATAGTGTATACGTAAAAATGTTAAAATAAAAATAAAACGGTAAATTGAGTTGTAGGTACAAAGTATGTATATAGTGGTCAAACCAAAGCTAAAATTATTAATTACTAAATATTAATCAAACAAAAACTCACAACACTGTTAGTTATGGCAGGTGTATTAATATCAAAACACTCTTGATTAAGGCAAGCAGTACTGATGTCAATTGCCGAATTTTCTTCAAAACCATTTGATTCGGTTTTTTTAATTTCTGATCCCACGATCTCATCAACCGTGGTCCAAGTATCAAATACCAATTCAGTTACATTATCTGCCTCGTCAATTGGTAGGGGTCTAGAAAAAATACGGGGTTCCTCTAATTCTCCTTGCGAAGAATCCTGGTCCACAAGCTCTCTCGTTATACCATCTTCTTCGAATCCATTACTCATAGTATCAGATAATGGACCATCATTATCAATATCTTGCTCTAGTCCCAAAACGATTTCAGAACCCAGACCCGTGTCATTAGTCTCTTCTATATGTTGTTTTTCTGTCAACAGAAAAAGTTCACTCGTGTCTTTTTGGACCTGGTACTCATTCGATTTTAAAGACTTGAGGTCTACGTATTCTAAATCATTGGACTGTTTAACATTGTCACTATGAATTGATTCTGCAGTTAGCATTATGTCCACACTGCATTTAACACGATTGGCTGGAGTTTCACTTTCGTTAAAACGTTTGGACAGCTCATTGTCGATGACGTTTTGCAACGAATCATCTTTGTCGTCTGAATCATCAGCCTTGTTAGTTTGCTCAACTGTGTTATTGGAATTTTCTGGTGCATTATCATATGTACTTACGTTATTGACGCCCGCCATATGCAACGGTGATGGTTTTCACGTTTTCCTGAAAAAATGGAATAATAATTCAAATGATACAGATATATTTCAGAAAGATTATGTAACTAAACAACCATTTCTAGGTAATTTTTATTTCAGTAAAAAAACATAGTAATACATAATATTATAAGTAAATAAAAAATAACAACATAATATACACCTATTGAGATTATTATTACACATAATTTCTTATTTTATACAGTTTAAAATTACCTTACAGAATGCTACAACCACTTGCACTAGTTCAACTATTAATGGGTTGATAATTAATTTTGGTTTTTTTTAAGTACCTATATAATATACCTAGTTCTGATTTGCTTAAATTTAAATTGTATTTTTTTTTAACATTTTGTACAATATACACACATATAAGTACAATTATAAATTAAAACCTATAAACGATAATACCTCTTATTATTAATATTATTTCAAACCATAATGCAAATCGTATCCTTTTATCCATTAACATCTAAAAGTCGTTGACATAAAAGTGACATATTTGAAATAGTAGTAGTATATAAAATTATTCTTAGAGGGTTTACGACTAACAGAGCCCTAGTATAGGGGAAACTGGTTTTTATCGTTTTTTGTATAACCATATAGAACAATATAGTGCATTTAAGTCATCACTTCGGCTTTATATAGACAAGTTGAAAAACTGGCTAAACAACTCGTAAGATGAAGGAAGGTTAGTGTCTAATTTTAAAGAAAGTGTCGACCAGAATCATTTAAAAACTCTTCGTCCTATGTTTAAACAAATGCAAGCTACACCAACAATGTACCAAGCTTTTAACGAGGCTTTTAAGATAATACATATCATAAAATTCTTATGTTACGTACCTAAATGTAAACTTCAAGAACAAAACTACATAACTTCAAATGTAATGAAACATAAAATAGGGATAAAAAGTACTAAGAATAAAACGGAACAGCGATATAATATATTTTTTACGATTTTTCAATTGTAGGTAGGTCAGTGAAATAGTAGCAATCATAATTTATGTATAATGGTTTTAGGGATATTTTATAACATAAAATACGTAAACAATGAAAAGTTATTTTGTGGGAGCGGTGAGTTACACTGTATTTTTTAATCAAGCTAGAAGCTACTATAAAAGTCAAACCACAAAATATAACATATAGTGTATAGTTGAAACATTGAATGTATGTCTATACTCTATATACCTATCTATATTCTATACAAAAAAAGTATAATAACTGTACACACCATATTCGTAAATTTAAATAATTTATATGAACCAACATATAATAATAATGTTATTGCAGAGACTAATAACTTATAAGTAATAAGTAACCAATTAACCAAGCATATCTTAAAAACCAAATACGACAGCTATACGTCCATCTTTATACATGCTATAGAGTATATATAGGTACGCGTATGGCCAATTTTATTTGAGTGATTATTATAAGTGTTGTAACTTTTGTATTTTCAATATGAAATGGATATTTATTTAAATTAAAATACATTTTTGGATCATTAGTTTCCGCATTACTTATATGTATAATACTATAAACTATACTGTGAAAATTAAAATAACTTCGTTTTTTTTTATTATTTGAAATAAACAATATATACACGCAATGTACAATAAGCTTAGAAATAACAGGACGTGAGGTGTTGAATAAGAAGCCACCCATTGACGACACTTATTATGATTAATTTATATTATATATTAATTATTATTCTTTATTTTTTTTTAATTTCGTACTTAAATAAGGTTTTTCTTACTATTTAAATTAATAACGTACCAATGACATATTATGCCATACAAACCTATAGCATACACTATTAATACCTTGTTGTCAAGCTAACGACAATTATTACAATTTTAGTAAATTTTTCGAAGTAGTCACTCAATATTTAATGTAAACATCCTATTCGATTAATTATTTGAAAAAGAAACACAATAAAAATAATAATAATCAACCATAATCAATATTAGTTTGAGAAAAATAATACAAGTACCTAATTGGCCGTAACGAATTAGTAATGGTTACAGTATTTATAGATCACACTTTTTTCAAATACAACTATTGTACGAGTATTCCACGAGCGTAAACTCTATAGGTCTGGACTACTTTTTAACACACTTAATTTAATTATCTAATTTAGCCAAAAAATTGTACCAATAAGTTGTTTTTTTTAATTTTTTTATTTAAGTTTCTCTGACTTTTTATCATTTAAGCTTATTGTGAATGGAATTACATATTTGTGCATATGGAGATTAGATTTAGATAACAATAACAAACATTTTAAATAGTATTATAAATCAGTAACTTAAAATTATTACATTGTTTAACTATCCAATAAGTAATAACGTTCAATATATAAATAATTCATAATTAAATAAACACACGATACAATGTAATATGCAATAGTAATAATATATATTAAATATATATTATATATTATTAAATATATATATAATAATATATTTTAAACTCATTAAAAATTGTTATTTGAATCAAGGGTAGTCCAAAACTATTTTAAATCTAACGTGGCCCAAAATGGTTAGGTCAGGGTAGTTATTCTTAACAAGATTTTGTATATATCTTATAAGTTAATGTAAAATAATAATTTAAGGCTGTCATAATTCTACTATACTGGTATTTTTTATATGATCAATAAATTGTATCCATCACACTGTTGAAGGATTAAGGACACTTCATAAAAGTTCATTGACCCCTGACAAAATAATCTACAAGCATCACATGGTCCATTGCCAGTTTCTAGACATGTGGGAGCTTTATTATTAAAACAACACGAGTGTAACAATAATTAGAAATGAAATGGAATGGCAAGAATTATCGAACCTGGCAAAACTATAAAACAAAAATTAAACTATTCTCACTTAGCTCACATGGAAAATAATCAAGTTATCTAGGTACCTTTAAAGATCGGAAAGCTGATCTGGAGGTGCTTTGAAGAGTTCAATAGTTTTATGTTAGCAAAATATGTACTCCTCTAAACACAACAAAAGGTATACAGACAACCAACTATCGAGAATGTTTGAAGAAATACAAGGAAGCACAATTATTTTCAAAGCACATTCAAAATCGTTTTTTTTTAACGTGAAGACATAATAGTACATTTTGAAATTGTTTAACAGAACATCTACTGTGAACTTCACCCAAGTGAGTAAAATGTCTTACACTCACGGTGTGTTTATTCCGCGTTGTAAGATTATTTATAATTTACTAAAAAAAACTTGACAATAGACATATATCATCTTAAAAAGGTAAAAAAAAAATAATATGAGAAATTGGTACTATAAAAACTAAGCAATATAATAGTATGTGTTACTAATAACTAGAGCTGGGATTTGTATGTAAATACATATTTTTACTACAACGTGATAGATTAATTATTGCAAATGATAAATTCGTTTCACGTGGTTTGCAATAAAATAAGACATATTTTATTCTACATCATTCTACATATTCCGTAGTAAATACATATTTTTATATCATTTATAATACGTCTATTTTTTTCATAATTTGTAAATTACGACAAAAAATCCAATATTTAAAATAATTTTTCAATTTACATCATTATTTTATATTTTTTTATTTTTTACTACATATTTTGTAGGTATAAGACAGTGTTAAGACACCATAGTTTCAATTTTGAAAATTTAACACTTAAAATGGTTTATCATTGTTTTACTTTGAATTGATTAAATTATTTAGGATTGTATTTTAATTAAACAAGCTGTCACGTTAACATATTTTTGAATTTTTTTAATTAAGTACTTATTTTTCATTTTTTATTACATATTTTGGCGAATTTAATCACACATGTATGTGCATTTCTCTGGCTTTTAATTACGTATGAATCCCAGCCCTACTAGCTACTAATAACTATCTACAGTGCAAATTCATTCTATGTAGTATTTATTTTTTATCCAAAAATAATCAACCAAAAAACATTCAAAGCATATATAATTATTAGAATCACTTAAGAATATAATAAAATATTCAATAAGTTGAAGTCATTTAACTTTTAGGTACAATAATCCATGGGCGTAACTAAAAGTAGAAGACATTGCCTTTTATATTGGTAGTTCTAGAACTGGATCAATGATACTATAAAAGTATAAAACATTTACAACCACACGTCATGCAAATTGACTATTGTTTACTCGTATGGATATAAAAAATACATTCAATTCAATTTAACTTTAATTAAAATAAAATATGTATCATTAAAAATATTAATAATACTACAACATAATGTAGTTAGATACTATACAAAAACGATGTTCAGTTTAGTGATACTATCAATTTTTTTATTTTTTTTTATTTAAAGTTCTTTTTATTAAGTTATTTTAAATAACTAGAGTGAGACTACGGAGTCTCATGGGCAACAAGAAAAATTCATTAAATATAATTGAATAAATTTCGTTCTCAAAAATATTTAATTAAACAAAACATTTTGGAAGTTCGTTATAATATGGAAGTTTTACTATATGCCTATTTAACAGTTTTTCAAATTAAAATCCGTAAAATAAAAAAAGTTAAATTAAAGACAAGGTATATACAAGTATTAATTAACTTATCAAATATTTGAGAGTTAACTTAAATTAAAAATTGTACATTTAAACGATGTAAGAAATAAAAATAAACAATAAAAGTTTTGTTTTAAATTTATATTTGAAAATTTAGCTTTTTTCATAAAAGATAACCCTCTGAATCGAGACCATGGGGAGATACGTTTTTTTATTTCTACGTATAAAAATATAGTACCTATACAATTTACATGCTTAGAATTTATAAAAAAATATTATCTGCAGCAGTAATTAATATAATAGTTTATCCAATTCTGGTATCTAAAGATGTTTGATGTTGGAAAATCTGGTTTAAAATTTAGCTTTGTTATATTCATACAACTCACTTGAACTGTATAATATTTTTATTTTTTTTTTATTTAGAACTTTCAATATAAAAATTAAAAACTATTATAGTTCAACTCCATAATATAGT